CAGAGTCAGGTCCTTCTGATTTCTGACTTCCTGTAGAGGGACCCTGAGCATCGAACGTCTCGGTGGGTCAGGCTGTATGGGCCCCAGTAGCAGCGCAGGGCCTCCGATTAAGTGGAAAAAGCGGGAAAGTTGTGAAGGGTCCCTGAGTAGCCAAAAGTGTTACGGAGGGGTCAACATATGGGCACCCGGCAATGGCGTAAAGAGCCTTTCGGACAAATGGGAAGGACCTGTGAAGGGCTTTTGATCAAAAGTGCCCGGCAGGCTGCCATATAGGGCCCTAACAACAGTGTACGGTCATCCGAGAGACTGCAACTAATGACGGGAGATATGAACGGATTATTCACGACCGCATTGACTCCGCAAGTGGGAATATAGGGTCCACGGCAACAGCATAGAGTCCCTGGGCAGCGTACTGAGCCTCGAAAACTCCCAGTCACCACCCCCTTAATCAGAGGACAGCTTTTGTTGTCTGATCATGGGCCCTCCAGTTTCGCTCGCCGTTCTCGGTCGTCTGGAGACCCAACGATGTCCAACTTTGTCACGTTTTGCGTTAACAAAAGCAGCGACCGTTCGACTGCTAACTTATGGGCCATCCCTGTACCTGTGGGTTCTTGTGGGGCCCATAGACTCCAGAAACTGGGGGGGGGGGGGCCTCTGGACGGGACTGGGGGAGGAGGGGTGAGGGGTGGCGGAGGACGCAGGCAGTCGCATAGATCATGTCAGGTATCATAACTAACATAACTCTTTATGACATGAATTTAACGCCATGAGACGACCAGCAAATGAACTCGAATTGATTGGGGCTTTCCGAGATGACCCCAGGATGGAGTGTTGTGCCCTCCCAATATCCCTTACCCTGACGACGCCTCTGTAGACGACTTCGCCTGACGTCCTTGAGCGCGTCACTGACGCCAGCTGACGGACGCGGCGAGAATGCTCCTTTGTGGAACACCGCAGGTAGACTCGCCAGTGACACCCGATACACGATTTGGGATTAAACGTAAATCGGATTTCCCACCCAACACCCGGAAGTCCATTTTCTCCATGTTTCGCTTTGGGGAAAACGATTGGTTCAATGATCAAAATTTCTGCAAAGTGGAGTATACTCACGGCTTCCCGCTTATGCTCCTCAACAATCTTCGCGCACGTATTTTTGTCAAACCAGCTTTATCCGCTACGGGCAATTCCTCACGAACAATTGTTGTTGCTAACGGAGAATTGTGGACGTACTTTATGCACACAAGCTTTGTGCATACGGGTTTTTGTGCATACGAACGTGGTACATACGTACCTTATGTCATGGGTACATTCGCTTATGAGCTTTCGCGTGCGTATTTCTTCCATGCAAAACTTATAAATTACGCACTCTATGCACGCGTGCATTTCCAGTTGTACTTATGTCCTAAAACCACGACCGCCGTACATTGCATATTAATGCACAGAAGTTAGCTTTTTCAAAAGTCATGCTGGAGTAAGCGCTGGCTATGGCTTCGTACGTTTAGCATGTGGGTTTTCAAAAGTGAACGCCTTAGAGCTCATCCACTGAAGGTGACGACGGGGGTAGAACGTGACGGTGGCCAGAATGCGAAACAACTGGACATTACAGAGTTCCGTTAAAGTACCCCACGGCTCGTTTCATCTTTACTCTATTGACTGCCGCCCTAAAGGGCTTCGATGAGCCTGCAGACATGCCCAGACGCGGTTCAGCAGCTCCCGCGAGCTGTCGACCCGGGGAACAACTCAATCAGCCGCTGGCAACAGCTGCCAGGTCGCAGGTACGCTGAGCGCCTCACGGTTCGTTTTCCGCTGGCGAAACTTGCTTCGCGAACCGAGCTGGTCCTTCAATGGCTCAGAACAAAACGAGCGTGAAGAAAAAAGACGCGGTTTGTAGACATCTATTCAAATCAAGCATCGCCGCCCGTCGGAACGTCACTGATGCTGAATGCACACGCCTTGATCTGCCCGTCAGCCCAAAACCACATTGCATGCGTCACGCACGCAGAAAGACAGACTCCTTGTCAAACTACATACAGGTACACCTTCCACATCCTTTGGCCTGTTCGCACTGCACCATCCAAATCATATGCAGTTTCGCGCACTGCAGCACTAAGGCAGCCCAGCAGGAGCTGCTCCCTGTACAAGGTCGTTGATGATAGCACGGCATCAAACGGAGCGCTACCGTTTCATGTACACGATCAAATCAACGGTTGACATTATTGTAAGTACCACCCTATTACCGATGCCAGTCTGAGCAAGAATGGGCACAGCAAGCGCGCCATTCACCTGCTCGATCTGGCGTCTTGTCATTTGAATGTATGCACCACGCAGGTCGCGCCGAAATCGACTCGCACCTGACCGTAGCATACCACTGGGTTTCAGCGAGTCTTTACATTCACAGTTTCGTTTTTACAGTTGCAGTGAGTACATTCGCCAAACCACACAACTGATACCGAAATCTGATAAAGAAGGCCCGCATACCGCGTCAGAACTCAGCGGTTTCGCGCCTGGGTTTTGATAACTCGCAACAGAATTTCCAACAGAATCACCGTACGCAGAGGATCCCGTTACGTGAAACATGGCACATGCCAAACAACTGCTACTGTTTACAGCAGCGAGCAGAAACTGACGAGACGTCTCAGGACCGATTCACACTCCGCTAGGTTCTCTCAGGTCAATGACACGATACTGGCAATGTCCATGTCTAAACATGCGTGACCGAATGCAAGTCAAGTCAATCCAAAGGGCCATGCTCGTTTCATACAGAACCACTCGCATATTATGCATACACCCAAATCAAGGCGAAGGCGCGGGCGACTCCTACGAGGACCACCTTCTAACAGGGGCGGTGCTGCACAAACCGCGGGACGTCCGCCGTTCCAGGTGACCCACGGACGCCGGACAACATCGCAACGCGCCTCGGCTGGCACCGCCCCGACGGCGGCGAGGCGGCGCGACACCACACTCGGAGCCTCCCACACAGCGACCCGTCGCGGTCGTCGTCAGAGGCACCGCCCCGCACTGGGCTAACTCGGACTAGGCTCGGGCGCCGGACGCCCTCACGCGCCGGCGGGGACTGGGGCCGGCGCGGAGACGCCGTCCTCTCCACCAGCCGGCGCGGGGACGCCGTCCTCTCCGCCAGCAAGCTCGGAGACGGTGTCCTCCCCGCCAGCCGGCGCGGCGGCGTCGCGCCCCGCTGCCGGAGCGTCCGACGCCGCCTCTGCGTTCCGCTCGGCCACGGCCAGCAGTCGGCCGAGGTGCCAGCCGCGCTCCAACAGCGGCTCGCCGATGCACCAGTCCCGGAGATAGCGACGCGCCGGCTCCGGCTCCGGCGCCGCCGCAGGAGCCGCAGCCGGCTCGCTCTGGTAGTGCGCCTTGGCCAGCAGCATGAGGATGATGCCGGCCGTGAGCTGGACGTAGCTGAAGCGCGTCAGACGCCGCGCCGACGCGCTCTCCTGGTTCCGGTTAGAAGCGCCACGCTGCCGGCGAGGCGGACGCGGTGACAGGGCGGCGGACGGTAGAACGCGGTGGAGAGGCGCGGGGTGTCGCGGTGCAGTGCAGCGGTGTTTCAGCATCGGTCGGGGGACATGAGACGCTGTGTCGATAGGCCGGTGAAAATATTTGGAAGGCCATGGATAAATCAATCATGCGCTGTTTTCGGCCGGGCATCATGATGGGGGAGGGGGGGGGGGGGGGGAGGGGGCGGACCAAAGTACGTATAGAAAAAGCATGGATTACAATTGTTCGTAGGATAAAGTGCGCATGTTTCATATCCGTTAAGAAAAATGCGCGGGGTATAAAGTTCGTAAAGGCAAAAGTTCGTAACGACAAAAATGCCTAGGGATGAAGATGACAAGTATGATGCTCGCCAGGGGAAAAAATCGTAACGAAAATGTTCACACGTAAACTTAAAATGGCAACAGGTCGTAAGCAATTCTTTGTACCCAAATGTTCGGGCGAGATCGTTAAGCAGGGATAACGCTCGTCTCACACACACAAAAAAAAACGTAACTAAACGTTCACATTTCGATATCCGATGTAAGTACGCAAAGTTTGCACAGCAATATTCGTCAGGCATGAAGCTCGTGTTACGGCAGTACGTATGCAAAACTTCGTATGCAATTGCGTTCTGAACGTTGGAGTGCATAAATTCATGATTGGTGTCGGAACGCATAAATTCATGTTTGGTGCCAGGTACCGAATGAATGGCCACTTCGTGGAGGGAGGGGGTGGGCTCGTCGACTGCAGAGAGAATCGGGTAGGGGGTGGCGGTGGACACTCACATTGCATAGGTCAGGTCAGGTATTATAACCAACATAACTCTACAACATGAACTGAACGCCCAGAGACGTCACGCAAATGAACTCGAATCAACTGGGGTTGTGCGGGGTGACCGTGATGGAGGGAACTGGGGCTAAAAAAAAACATGTCCACTGCAAATCACCGGCCGAGTTTGTTGTGCTCTCCCATTATCCATCACCCTGACGACGCCCCTGTTGACGACCTCGCCTGACCCCCCCTGAGCGCGTCACTGACGCCAGCTGACTTTTGTGAATACGAACGCTTTCCCACGCGCACTTTATACCACACGACTATTTGCTTGCAAACTTGCGCGTGCATGTTTTTGCGTACGTTCTTCTGCCAGACAAAGTTCACACCTCACACCTGCGCGCTTTTGTCCCAAAGCCCGTGACGGGACAGCATATAATTCATATATTGGGCACACATGACTGCACTCATGTGGGCCACGTGCCAGAGTACTGCGGGTTATTAGCACAGCAACGTGCTATCTGTATCCAAACCACCGTCAATAATGACCAATACAAAGCTAAACAGCCCCCTCCCCCTCCCCGACTATGCCTGGTATTCTGGTTGGCATAATGGCAGAGGTTGATCCAAGAGGAAGGTATGATTGATAATAGAACATTTTGGTGAGACCCCGGCCAACATACTCACAAAGATACACCAGGTAAGCATTCACTGGCAGTGAGTCGATGGCGTACATCCACGTGGTGACGTCACAGGCTGACGTCACTATCGGCAGGGCGGCCCAGAGCCAGGCTGTACCGCAGCGCCACGCGGCGGGTCAAATCTGAAACAGAAGTACCACACCACACCGCGCTATACAGTGCTGCCCTCATCACAGCCATGGGGTTGCATGGTGGTCGCTGCCGACGGAGATGGGGATTCCAGATGTACACAGCCAAAGTCGTGTGGTATAAAGTGCGCGTAGTGTGTGCTGTGCTGTAATATCCTAAGCACCAGCTTAGACCGACGTGTGCTGGACTTGAGCCCGCCGACGGTTAACCCATTGGTTTGCCTGGCCAAGATTCAAACCCGAGAAACACTGACGCACTCACTGCATTCTGCATCTGCGTCAACAGGCGCCCTTGACTCACAAAGGCAGTCACAATAGCCTTGAAACAACAGCCTTGCATCCCCCAAAATTGTAGAGCTTGAAACCCAACGGTGTTTAATATCGATAAAGTACAGGCCTTCAGCAAATCCAGTGTGAATAGTTTCTAATGTGTGTTAGATAGTGCACAAAGTGTAGCAGAAGGCCTGCCATCCAACATGTGGCGGATCAGCTCTACAGCTCCGTGCCTACCTCAGATAAGCTATACATGAGTGGTGGACCTTACATATTGTGCACGAGTCCTCATCCGTACCCCTGTCCCCCCCCCCCCCCAAGCCAACACAACTCGAAAGCCTGTCCTCGCAAGATAGCTTTCTCAACGCGGACCACTCATTTCCCACGACGACCAACTAGTATTGCATCATACACACCAGCTCATACGCCTTATTCTGTGACCTCACTACACCATCTCACCCTTATCCTCTCACCCACACAGTGACCCCATCCTGCGCGCACCATGACCACCGTGACCCCTCGTGACCCCAATGCCCTCTGACCTGGGTGAGTGACCGCCATGATGCGGTAGCCGGCGCGCGCGTAGTCCTTGCGCAGGTTCCACGAGAGGGCGTTGAAGTGCGGGAACTGCCAGGCGTAGAGGAGCGCCGCCAGTAGCCAGGCGCCGGGCGCGAGGGTGCCGGTGGCGGCGGCCCAGCCCATGAGGGGCGGCACACCACCCACTGCCGCAGGCGCAGACCCCCACCGTCACACAGCGCTGCCTTGTGGGTGGCGTCGCGCGGGGAGTGGCACCGAGGCCGACAGCGGCTGATTGTTAACGGTGCCATAGGGCGAGATTACACAGACTTCATCAGTGTCTTGAGCGACGGCGTTAACAGTACATGTGTCAAACGTAATAGCACCAAAGGCGATCAAGGGTGACAGTGTCACGAAGAAGAGCGTCAGTCGTGGCGGCGAGTGTGTCTTGTCAGTGTCACGAAGAAGAGTGTCAGTCGTGTCAATAGTGACCACGTGCGACGTATGGACGACTTCGGTCTCGCTAGTGCGGCAACAATCACCCAACAAATAACCATGACTAAACAGACCCAGCCACAGATTCCCCGCACCTCGCGACGGACACCACGCGATCAACCCGAGCACCAAGTCCCTCACCCACGGCCTGCAGTCGCCCCCTCCAGCGCAACTCCAAACCATACACTGCCTGCACCAGGCCATCCCTCACCGACGGCGCCGACCCAAGTGTTGGCGATGGTGACCCGCTTGAGCGGCGTGTAGACGGCTGTGTACAGCAGGAAGTTGGCGGCGCCGAGCGCGGCCGCCAGCGGGCTGGCCAGGTACAGCAGGCCCACGCCGGAGCTGACGCACGCGCCGGCGAACGTGACCGCGTGCAGCGGACTGCCGGGGGACACGTGCTGGTCAGCTGACACAGGACAGACCGGTCAGCTGACACAGGACAGACTGGTCAGCTGACACAGGACAGACTGGTCAGCTGACATGGAACAGCCTGGTTAGCTGACACAGGACAGACTGGTCAGCTGACATGGGACAGACTGGTCAGCTGACACAGGACAGACTGGTCAGCTGACACAGGACAGACTGGTCAGCTGACACAGGACAGACTGGTCAGCTGACACAGCACAGACTAGTCAGCTGACACAGCACAGACCTGTCAGCTGGCATGGGAGACCAGTCAGCTGACATTGGACAGTTCACTCAGCTGACATGGGACAGGTTGGTCAGCTGACACATAAGAGGCTGGTCAGGTGCCACAGGACAGACTAGTTGGCTGATATGAGACAGCTGACCAGCTGACATGGGACAGACTGGCCAGCTGACATGGGGCAGACTGGTTAGACAACACATGGTTGGCTGATGAGATGACATAGGCTATATTGGTCAAACAACAAATGGTAGGCTGGTCACATGAAAAATAGCACACTCAAGACAAAACTGCCATGGGTCAGGCTGGCTACATATCTGTCATCCAAAGGTAAAACCACATTTCTTCATTTCTGACCATTTTCCGTTTTTTTATTTGACCTGATTCATTTCCTCATGCTGAATTCAGATACCTAAGCCAATGGTTCAAATTTGCAGATGTTTTTAGCTAAAAGAATGGACTAAAAGCTTGTGAAAATTTGAACTGATGGTTTTAACGACCAAATTCAGCATGAGCAGACAAATCAGGGGACATCAAAAGCACAAAATGGCTGAGAATCAACATGTTGAGTTTTACCTTTAGATGGCAGATGAATGGTAAGTGATGAGGCTGGTCGAACAACACAGATAACACTAGTGGACCAACTGCCCTGACAAGACATGACATGAAATGACCTGATCCGACAGGGCATGACATGACCTGGTATGTCAAGAGCATGATCTAACTCAACAATGACCTGGTTTGCTCCAGGCACTGGCCGTGCCACCTCCACACTGACCCTAGCCTGACCCTGACTTGACCTGACCTGGCCGTGACCTGCGCGCGCCCTCACCTGACGTGGCGGCGGACCAGGGGCCGTGCGGCCGTTCGCGCCATCTGGCTGTCGTACGGCACCTCCAGCCACTGGTTGACGGCGTTGGCGGCCGCCGAGGTGAGCAGGGTGCCTCCGGTCACCAGCGCCAGGGTGGCGCCCGAGAAGACGCCCGGAGCCATGGCGTAGCCAGCCATGGATGTCACCACCACCAGCCCTGCAACACGGGGAGGGAGGGGGGGGGGGGGGAGGCAGTCAGCAGGGTCACACGGCCGCTGCACTCCAGGACAAGAAGCAGGATGATTGGACACTGATTGAACCAATGATGACACAGGGATGTTCTGATCAGCCGGCCAGCGTCATGCTGTTGGTAGGTTGCGGATGGTGAACACTACAAGCAACACTTCACTGAATGCACTGAGGGAGCGGAAAAAGAGGGGGGGGGGGGGGGGGGGGGGGCGGAATGCAACATCTCTCGACACAGGGTTTTGTTGGATGTCTCAAATTATTTTTCTGTGATTTGGGTTTTGCATATACAGACCCAAACAAGGACTGGGGAGCATAAGGGCCGAGGCCCGTCCAAAAAAGCGCGGAATTCCACCCCCATTCGTGAACAGCGCAGCCAGCAACCACCATCACGTCTGGCAACACAAACAGTGACAGAGCACATAATGCAGCCTTAGGGTTTCACCAGAACTGCAGTTAGAAAACACTGACGCGTAAAAACGAAAACAAAAAAGAAAACACCGGCCCGTATTCACAGAAAAGTGGGTACGGGTCGGCAAACCTAATGACCACCACCAGTCCTGGTACCTCTAAATCTGGGCAAGATCCGTGTCCACAAAGCCGGAGCTCCACCACTCTTGACAGGTCCGAACGGACGGACCAAGGACGTCACCTCTCGGCACCCGGAGAGCAGTCACAGTCATCTCAGAGGCAGAGATCCACCCAGCGAGCGCAAGAAGCTTCACAACACCCGGCCGGCCGGCGCAAGCACCGGCGCACCGCCCGGCCGGCCGACAGATGGCGCGCCACTCACCGGCGCATCACCCGGCCGGCAGACAGATGGCGCGCCACTCACCGGCGCACCGCCCGGCCGGCAGACAGATGGCGCGCCACTCACCGGCGCACCGCTCGGCCGGCCGACAGATGGCGCGCCAGTCACCGGCGCACCGCCCGGCCGGCCGACAGATGGCGCGCCAGTCACCGGCGCACCGCCTGGCCGGCCACAGATGGCGCGCCACTCACCGGTCAGCCGGACCTTGGAGAGCTCCATATACCAGCGCGGCAGCCGGCGCCAGTCCAGTGCTGTGCTGCGCCACTCCATGTCGCTTCCCTTGACCATGTCGGCGACAGGCCGACCCTTGCCCTCGGGCGCCGCCAGCGGGGCAAAGGTCGTGACTCGGGCCATCCGTCCGGCGCCAGCGGCGGCCCGGGCCGCGTGCGAAGGCAACAGGAGTAGCGCCTGGTGGCGGAGGGCGGAGAGCAGTCAGAGGCCATTGATAGCATGCTACTTGTGGTTTCAGTGGATTGGAGAACAAGAAGCTGTATATGGATGCATCAGAAGATAATCTGTAGAAAGGTGCACGTGTCTAATTAGCGCCATCTAAGGTAATAAACTGCAATTAAGCATGCACGCGGTTTTGCTAAAAGCCACCAGCCAAAGACATAATCTCACACTTTTCTCACATAAAGCATAGTCAAGAGCCACTTCAGAGCTACTTTGTCTCTTTCATTAATAACAAACTTGAAACGATGCGCATTGGAGTGACAAGGTAGCTAAGGATCCAATGACAATGCCAATGATGTTGGATATATAAATATAAGGAAGCATACAGTAGACATGACATATTGCCTGTTTGATATGGGCACTGAAAGATAACCTGACAGTCTGGCTCCAGATAAGCTATACACAAATCACCAACTGGAGACATTACACAATGGCACAATGCTCCAAGCTACTCAAAACAAACACATGATAAAGACAAACACAAACATAAAGGTTCTAGTTCTGCTAAGCCCACAAGGCACAAACTGACCTTAGTGTGTTTTCCTTCATGGCTGAACAGCCTAACATAGTGATGAACAGAGCACTTGGTTCCAGACAAAATCAGCAATGAGGCTGGGTCTTTTCTGTAAAAATGGACCCCTCAGGGCCAAGAGCCATGCAGACATTGTTCACATTCCTGGAAACCAGATATAAAATTAAGAATGATCATCACTGATTGCATATGAAACTGAGTCATTTTCACATCAAACAACCACACTGCAGTGTAATCATGGCATAAAACAAAAAAATGGATGACTGACACTAATGCACCCAAGTGTGTTATGATGAGCAGATTCAGGGGTAGCAGAAATCATGGGGAATGAGTACAAAGCATGCACAAATACTGACAGTCTCTTCCAAAGATTGTTGATGCTGATGACCACAGCCACCTTTATGGGCATAATGCTGTGGGTTGTATGTAAAGAGTAACTGAAGGCAATGTCTCAAACAGGTTTGAAGTAAAAAGCTTGAAAATGATTTCATGTCTGATTAACATGATATCTCATGAACGAACTGTAAAGGTGGTTGCAAAATATATAATTAGGATGAAGCAGTGGCAGGTTGCACAAAGTGGATATGCAGGTAGCACTATTTCTATATCATCCAGTAAGCATCATGAGCATACCAATATGGCTACCACAAACTCAAGGCACTGAAAACCACAACTTACAACAAACATTTACATCCTAGTGATATGACATCATATTCGGCAAAACATTGCTCGCCGCAACACCTTGGTGCCTCTTTTCTTATCTGTGTGCACACCACACCTGGCTAACATACAATGAAAAGCTTGTCTGTTTACACATGACAAGGTCACCCCTGATCCATACCATTGATTAGTCATGCCAGGCTCCACTGGCAGGGAAATAACCATGTGAGTCACCTGGAATCCTATGGTTCTTAAAATACTGAGTTGTCAGGCATTTGAACTTGATCTCCCACTGCAGTTATTTTTTTTTAAAGTACCAAAATATCTGAGGCAGCAACAGCTCTTCAGCAAAACTCTAACCACCTCATCATAACATGAGACTTCAACTGAATGTTCACTGAATGTCTGAATCCAGTGACTGTCTATCAGGAGATGGGAGTCACCAAGTGCAAATAGACTGCTAAGAACTTTATGGAAATCATAACAATTACTTAGAATAGCAATTTTAATTGTCAAAGATCAAAAAGTAGTGCAAAATAAAGTCAATGACATGTGCTCTTCTTCCTGTGTTACAAGATTTGACTGCACACACAGCTAAGTTCATTATCTAATATATGCTAGATGCCTATGACATATTAAATCATTGCACAGTTGAAAATAAATATATATGCACCATTTTATTGGATCTGACTTGCACTGCAAGCAACTGACCAAGAGCATGTGATCTGGAGTGAAAATGGGTCAGACAAAACCTGGTGATGCAATTGACTGCTGATGGGAAGACTGTTGATTAGCTTGGCTGTAATTACATGTGCTTCATTACAAGTAATGCCTTTCATGCTGCTACTGAATCTTATAGGCATTTAGTTATTCTGGCTTTGGTAAGTATGTGATAAATTCATGCACAACACAAACTGTTCTAATAAAGGTCCACAGAACTTGTATGTTGAAAGGTACCACCCAGCAGGTGCAACAATGATCTACAGTTAAGCATGCAAAGATCCTACGTCTGAATATACCGAAGGCAAAAAGAATTCTACATGACCCATCTACATTTGCACCACTACCATGCCATCACATCAAGCTACCGCATTATTTTCTCAAGGGAACCACGTAAAAATAATTTCATTTTGAGTTACGTCATGCACACTGTGTACACAATTTTAGAAACAAATCACACAATCGACAGATCCCATCAGTCCACCCTGTTTCGGCATCCTGGAATATCCTTGCTTCCGCAATTCACGCGCGTCCTCTATCTACCTCGTTTACAACAAATTACTGGTTACCAAACATTTCGCATCGAATAACAGCGCGAGGCGCCTTGCGCGAGGCAGTGCAGCGTTGGAAGTGAGCCACCAGAGTCATATTTGTCGCGTTGGTCAAGCTCGCATGAGATTCATAATCACATTCGGGAGCATATTCGGGATTCATCGGACTCCTCAGATTCGCTTGAAACTTTGAATACGATGCAGTTTAATCTTTTGAACACAATGAACACGAAATGTCGGACCTGTACGCCCTTTTACCAGAGATAAAGCAATATGAAAGATAACGATAAAAAGTGGACTGCTTAAACTATATCCAAAATCCCTGTGTTTTCCATCCGTGCCTGGTAGATAACGACCTGATTATGATCAACACAAAATCTTGGACCGGTTCGCTATATCAGAAATGTAATAGCGCTCCTAATTTTATGGTTGTGGTGACGGTGCGGCGCTTACTGCATCTTGGCTGCCTTGACTCAGGTTCATATTCAATATTCAGGGGACTCATCAGATTGACTATAGATTTTGCCCACAGTTGCCGTTTAATCTTCGCACGTAATGAGCACAGAATCTCTGACCGGTACGACTTTTTCCAGAGATACATAGGTATGATATCTGCACACCTCAATGATATCCATAACTCAAACGCATCCCTGCCCTTGGATCTAGCCCTTGGAATGTTTGGCCACTGCTATGTTAGTTATGCCATGTTGATGAGGCCTCCACCAATAACCTTACCATGTTCGTCTGTCTCGTGATGTGGTTCATGAGTGTCACCATCTGCCAATGGTAGCCTGACCCTCTGACCTGTTATGCCACTGTGTCTTGAGTTTAAACTGTCACCAACCAATGGCCCCGCACGGTGGAATGCCATGCGGTGCAGGGCTCTGAGCTCAAACTTTCCCCTACTGGTGACCATGCTCCATGACCTGTCCTGCTACTGTGCCATTGTATTTTGCAGTCCAAGAGTTCGATGTGTTCTCCACTAGTCACCTGGCCAGTGGCTTGTCTTTGACAGGACTGATTTTGCTATGTCTGATGAACTTGGCGTGTGATTTCTCTCTGTTGTAATCAACGCTGGTGATAACTCTAGTAATCACTAGCGTTTTATCAACCGGATCTAAACAATTTGTGTTAGATGTATGAACGGCCATGCCTCGAACTGCCCAGATCTTGAATTTGCGGTGTCAAGATTGTGCGGAATAAATGTTAAAGTCGTCAATTTTTGTCGAGTCGTCTTTTACGTGTCGATATTTCGCATACCACTGTGACATTATTTTGCGTGTCGATACTAAGCGCGTTGAAATTTTGTCCAACAGTCAGAAAGTCATTACAACCGACGTCGCAAAATCGATGTTAAGTATGAAGCTGAAGCTTCACGCTAAGTGGGCGAGACATTGTTTGCTGTTTGCTGCCAGCTCCATATCTGGTGCCAACATAATGAATAATTCACACCCTGTTCAGCCCGACCCACTTCCTGTGCCTGCGTCACCACGCGTCCGCATCCATCCTCCGTTATTTACATCCACCACCAGCTATCTTACATCTTTGCAACGGCCCGCCTAACCGAGCACATGGTGCGGCCGTCGGCCGTGCGCTGCGTTAGCCAGTCGGCAGGAAATCCCGTCTGAGTACCGGGACAGCATCGACACCGCACCCAGCCGTCGTCCGTTAGGTATGCGGATGATCCAAGTTGGCGGTCGTGTCAATCGCAGGCCTTAAGCCAAGGTCGAATTCAGGCACCAAGATCGACCCAAAGGCATGTCAACGGTCTGAAGTTTTTTCTGCGTAGAGAAAACAGCAGTCATAAATCTGAGACCACGTCTTCGTACATGTGGACATGCTTTACAGTGTTTCTGCCGCGCTATTGCTGTTGCAATTAAGTGTTTTGCTATTGCTGCAACATTCCTTGGACGATCTAAGCCGGCGCACTGGAGCTGGCAGGCCGCCTATAATGCGAACAGACCACCTAATGCACAGGCCCTCACGTGACGTCACCATATCATCGCAGCCAAAGTGGCGGCTGCCCTCCGCCGTGGAGCGTTCTCCTTGCCTCCGCTGTCCGGTGCGTAGTAGTGCTGACACTCTTTGTTTGGAAATCCCGCGTCCGTCTCGCACGCTCTTTGCTGAAATTTGTTTTTTGCTGGAGCAAGCCACATGCATAGCCTTCAAGCTAATGTAGATTCCTACAAAGCAATTGAAATGACGCGCAGACAACAAAAATGTGCTACTATACCTATCCATAAAATGCTTGATCAGCGAAAATAGTACTGTGTGGTAAACTTGGGCGATCCATAATTCATAGCACCTAAACGATATGCAACGGTTTTTTGTACATGGGTTGGAAGAAGACAGGCATCCATATTAAAGAATCTACTGTCATCTTTACCATCTTCTTGTCTCAACTGTTTTCCACTGCAAATGGCGTTGCACAATAATGCTCAATAATAATATAACGCAAATTGAGGTACAAATACACACACCGTACATAAATCAGTCGACAAAATTCTAGCTAGAGAGGACATTCAAACAGGTGATCATCAGCAATCTCTTTCCACAGCTAACCAAAATATCATTTGACATTTCAAGCTAACATTGAACTTGATCCATGAGAAGAAAACCCGATAGGTATCTCCTTAACACGCTACACTGCTGAAAGCGATGTTGAAAAGAACGACGGTTCTTCTCCGTGAGTATAAACTCTACCCCCAACTAAGTATCAAAACACTGAAAAAGCGCCAATTTTGCATTTGCCGCATGTGCGTGGAGTAAAGCAGCAAAGAAGCAGGACATCAAGAACGTGGAAAATGCATCAAGAACATGGAAAATAACGTTGTCCAGGCGCCAATTGGGCTTGTTCCCTAGCAATTTCATAACGCCGCAGTATTCCATGATCCAATATATTCATTATTGTCCCAAAAATTGTACGTGTAGCAGATTTGTTGTCCTTCAACAGGCAGTCTCCACATGCCCTTTGCGACACCTGACCAGCTGGCAGGTACGTGCAAGCTGCTGGCCGGGTCGTCGCGAGGTGCCACAAAGGTGACCCAAGAAAAATGTCTCGATCTCGCGCACACTTTTTCTGCGTATTGACAGTGAAAGCTTAACTAAACTATCGACAATTACAGAGTTAATTGGTGCATAGCATTGATGAAGCGTCGCACA